TTCTTTGGAATGGGAACAAATATAGATCTCTTCCAGTCAGTTGGGCAAGTGCTTGTTCTCCCGATTTCTTGGCACAACTTGGTGAGCACATCCAGGGCAGTATCTGTTAACTGAAATATCTCAATTGGTATACCATCTATTCCGGGGGCCTTATTTTTTGCTATTTCCTGGGTAGTAGCCTGTCCTGTTTTCGGAGTGCCCTGTTGAAGGGTATTGCACTTCCCAGGCTTCTCTCTAAAGGTCCTGCCCTCTGAGGGGCTGGTGCACACCTGCACCAGCCCTGGGCTACCCTGATCTCTACTGGCCCCTCCCTGACACCTGGCTTGGGAGGGGCTCTGGTGTTTTCTATGTGAACAGAAGCTCACACAGTTTTTCTGCCTGCATTCTGGAAGGAAACAGAAGCCTCCTAGGTGACCCAACAATTGAGAAATAGATTCTTGGCAGATGTCCTTGGATCCCAGCCAGGGTCTAAATGTGGAATCTGAGGCGTGTGTGTGTGTGTGTGTGTGTGTGTGTGTGTGAATTCTCCATGAATTTGTTGCTGTTATGTGCCATTGAGTCGTCTGTGACTCATAGTGACCCTATGTACACCAACTCTGAACCCTGTTCTGACCTGAGCTAGTCTCACTGTCTCTGACACAACTGCCCCTATTACCCCAGTTACTGTGTCAATCCATCTTATCCAGGGTCTTCCTCTCCTGTACTGTCCCTCCACCCTTCCAAGCATAATGTCCTTCTTCAAGGACTGGTCCCTCCTGGCAACATGCCCAAAGTATCTGAGATGGAGTGTCAAAATCCTTGCCTCCAGAGAGCAAGTTGGTCTCACCCTCTCCAGAACAGACCTATTAGTTCTCTGGACAGTTCAAAGTATGTTCAACACTCTTCTCCAGTACCATAACTCAAAGGTGTCAATTCTTCTGTCATCCTTAGCCATTGTCCATTTCTCTGATGCATAGGAAGTAATTGAGAAGACCATCACCTGGATCAGGCACACCTTAGTCTCTAGACTGATATCTTTGCACTTTAGTACTCTCTAGAGGTCCCTGACAGCAGAGCATCACCAAAATTTTGAGCAAGGAGAGACGTATATAGTTCACTTTCAACTCAGCTGCATAAATTTCAGTCACACATTACCTGCTGTGAGCTTAGGAGTATGATGTCCATGGGCATATTTTAAGGAAAAGAGATTGGAACTCAAGTATTGAATCTGGTTGGCCCCTAGCTGCCTTGTTGAGCATGCTGCAGCCCTATCTGAACCTGGTAAACAGTGCTGTACTTGATTAGTAATGCCTGCCATGGGTGTGAGGGGTGAGGTCAGTGGTCTGTGTGCTATACCAGAGGTAGAAGGGCTTCGGCCACTTGGAAGAGGCATGGGAACACCTATGACAGTGCTTAGGGGTTTTCCCAGGGTCCCGTGGGAATGAAGACTGAGACTGAAAACAGTGAACATTGGTCCTGGATGGCGGCCTTATAGACTGACCATCTGATCATCCTGTGGCAGCTGCCAGCGTCCTGCGTCCCTGCATCCGGGACATGGCCTGAGCTATGGGTGGCTGAATTGAGTGTAACCTCCCTGTCCTACCCTGCCACCACCCTACTCAGCTCCTTGGGGCCCAGGGGTGGAGGGAATTCTCTGCCCATTGCCCAATGCTTGGCTGTAACCAGGCTATCCGGGTCTTCAGACTCTCCGACAGAAAAACTTCACTTTTGAACCCCTATCTCTGCTTTCCTTTCTGACTGGTGGCACATTTTTGAGAGTTTCCTCTTTGGCCCAAGAGGAAAGATGAGACAGACTGAGCTTTCTATCCAGCAACCTAATGAAAGAACTAAGATGGAAATAGTGTCCTCCCAGGGCTCTGTCCATGCCAGACACGGTCACCACACCATCCCTCCCAACACTTACAGCCTCAGTGACAGAGGGATTGTCATCCTGCCGAGTGTGGTCCCACAGATGGGAGAGGACATGGTGCAAGGGGCAGTTTCTGCCAGGACTGGGTTCTTTCCCTCTGAAAGCCTCAGAGGACCTCCTAACCTCCCCTGCAGGGCCACAAACCCCATGGCCACAGGGTCTGAATAGTGGAAATGTTCCAAGTGGGCCTATGGGGAGGAGAGGCACTTTCAGGCTATGTAGATGCCAAGTCCCAGCTCAGCTGGGTCTTCTGTATGTTCAGAAGAAACAGGAAATCCAGGCTGTGTGAGCAATTGCCTGATTTGAATGAAATCTGGGGCTTATATTGATGCCTTTGACTTTCAGTGCTGGAGAAGAGTACTGAATATCCCATGGACTGCTAAAAGAACAAACAGATGCCTTGGGGAAAGTGCAGCTTTGGAGTGCTCCTTGGAGGCAAAGATGACAAAGCTTCATCTTTCATACTTTGGACATGTAGCTAGGCGAGGCTATTCCTTGGAGAGGGACATCGTGCTTAGGAAGATCAGTGAAGGAGAGGAAGACCACTGAGATGGATTGGCCTGTTGACTTCAGCAGTGGGCTTGAGAGTGTCAGAGATGATGAGGATGGTACAGGATGGGGCAGGGCTCGCCAGCTGCTCATGGGGTCACTATGAGTCATATTTGATGGCACCCAACAACAACAACAGTGTGATGAGACTCTTCCACAGAAGGGTGGGGGCAGCCTAGGTCTCCTCCTCCAAGCTGTACTCCTCCTGGCCAGAAGCTGATTTCCAGGACCTCAGAGGAATCCGCTCATTCCTCACCTTTGGCCTACAGGATTGTTTAGACACCCCTTGATGTCCATCACTGAAGCTGCACTCTTTCCTGATCCTGTCTGGACAAAACTGGTCAGAGGTCTAAAAGCAGGACCTGGGAGTCTGTTGGTGTTCACTCTCAAGTTGACTCTTAATATTATAACAAACTGTCCCATAAGACAGATAAGAAAACAGAGGCCACATATGAGTGGCAGCGGGCATTTGAACTCAGCTCTGTTCTGACTCCAGGGTCCTTGCTTTAAACTTCAAGACCTCATTTCTTTTTGTTCCAGAATCTCTCTACATGCGCAGGAAGTGGATATTTCCAGGGAGCTGCTTGTGACAGGAAGGGGTGACCTCAAAGCCACACCCTCTACAGAGATGCCCCCACCTGCTCGCTCAGGTGAGCAAGATCCGCTGGGGCCCAGGTGCTGCTCCCAGGCCCCTGGGACTGAGTGTGGACAGAAGAACCTCCATGGAGCCAAGGGCAGCCATGGGGGAGCAAAAGCAGAGGAGCCGGGACCTGCAGCAGAGTCCCTGATGGGACCAAGTTTCGCCAGAAGGGACAGGAGAGAAGATGCAGCTGGGGCCCCAGACAAAGGCCCAGGAGCAGGAAACCCTGAGCCCGGAAAGAACTGCCCAGCTGAAGGCATGGGGACAGCTGAAGCAGGAAGAAGGACATCCCTGGGCACTGAGGCTGGCAGCCTGGTTCTGGGTAAGTGAGATGCCATTCGACATGTATTGTGAGCCCAGAGGTGAGTGGTTCTGGAGGACTTGCTTGGGGGGGGCCTTCCTACAGCCTCCTGAGGTAAATGATGGGTGTCTCAGGGATACTGAGATTTGGGGACAGCCTTATCAGGACATCCTGGGTGAGAGACAAGGTGTGGAGATGTGGACAGCAGAACTCTGATGGACAGTCGCCATAGAGGCACCATAGAGGTAGAAGGGCACTGAGTGAGTCCACTGGGGGATTTCTCAGAGCTGCCTGCCTGCCTCAGCTTTCTCCCATTTGTCACTTCTGGACTGAGATCGACAAGGCTCCCACCAAAAACCAACTCCTTAACTTGTGTGTTCACACCCTTCACATCATTCACACCCTGTGGCCTGGTTAAGGGAGTGTCTGGGTGGTGCAAATAGTCGGTGCACTTCCAGAACACTTAATTAAGCTTAGACGAAATCAATACCTAGACCAAGAAGCTGTTGTCTGAGCAGAGTAAGGGCACATTGCATGGTTTAAAATATGTACGTCAGGGCTGTATCCTTTCTCCATACTTATCCAATCTGTATGCTGAGCAAATCACTTAAGCAGCTGGACTTTATGAAGAAGAATGTGGCATCAAGATTGGAAGAAGATTTATCAGCATCCCACACTAGGCAGCTGACTCAACTTTTGCACTGTGCAGACAACACAAGTGTTTAGGCGTCTAATCACTGTGCCGCACACCTACATAAGGAAGACACACACACATACACACATATACAGTCTTACTCCTTGAAATAGTGCGCTGGAGTCTTGCTTTGTAAATGAGCTCTCTCAAAGCAAAATCAAACTTCCGCTTTGGGAAGCAGAAAACTGCTTGCATTAAACCAAACAAACAGAAAATGGCATTATTTCCCAGCTCCTGGGCCTGTGGTTTCAGCCACTTTGAAGTTATGTTGGAGTACTCTAGGTGCTCCCCAAGGTCAGTAAGCAAGTGGGGTGCTCGCATGGAAGGCCCTTGAACAATAGCCAACACAAATCATGACGTCCTGCCTCACTGTTGTCCAGCTTCTCAGCCACTTGCTGGGCTGCTCTGTTATGTCTGGGGCACACTCGGTTTTCTCTTTTATGCCTTAATTCTATTTCATGTGGCATTTTCTAGCTAGTTATTTCACCTAGAGAGGACAGAATTTAAACAATTAAACACCAAGCCATTTTAGAACACTCTTTTTAAGAGCCAGTTGTCTTCTCTCTCCATTCCATATCCGCAGCCCACTCTTCTCCCTGTCCTGTGAGACCTTCCGCCAGTTCTCTTGTGCTGTGGATTCTGTTTAGGGTCAACAGTCAGGAGATCTGGAACCGAAAGGAAGGAGAGGGTGCGGTGTTTATCTCTCCAGCTGCTTCCTTGACACACTACCCTGTGTTTGTTTCCATAACTTTGTCTCTATCCTTAAAAATAGTGCTGACATTCACTTCTCAGTTTGGGCATGGTGCTAGGAGAGGCTAGTCCTTGGAGAGGGGACATTATGTTTGGAAAGGCAGAGGGATGGTGAAGGAGAGGAAGGCCCTCAACCGGGGAGATGGACACAGTGACTGCAGCATTGGGCTTGAGTGTGTCAGGAAGTGTTAGGATGGCCCAGGAAAGGTAGGCTTCTCTTCCTCAGGTCTCTTCTTAGGGCCACTGTGAGTCGTACTCGACTTGATGACACCTAACAGCAAGAGTAACTTCTGTTTCTTTTGGCCCAGGCTGACCCACCCTGGGTTAGAAGCCTTGAATTTGTGATGATTAGCTGCAGAGGACACACTTTCCCAGAGGCTGGGAGACATGGGTTGGAGTCCCCTGTGCTGCTGGCTCACAGTCTGACCTTCAGCCGGTCACCTCACCTCTCTGAGACTCAGCTTCCTCCTCTGTCAAATGAGTAATTTGATTATTGAGAAAGCGCCTTTTAAAATATCAGGGGCTACTGAGTTAATTACCTCAGTCCCACAAGGACAAATACTGTATAAAACCATTATCGTAGAATGAGTATATGGATCCAAGGGGAGGGGGTGGAAGCAGAGGGGTGAGGATGTGCAGGGGGAGAGGGAATTATTCATGGGGTTGTACAATTTGATCAATCTGTTCTGGAAAACAATGTATTCAAATTTTGTAAATAAACTAGTATAATTAAAAAAAACTATTAGGAGCTAGTAAGAGAGCAAGGTCTAGTGGGTAGGAAGTTGCCATCTTAAAGGTACATGGTTCGAATCCACCAGCTGGTGTGTAGGATAAAGATGGGTAATCTCCTGTACATTCACTGCCTCTGCTAACGCACTGCGGGGCGATAAGTCAGCTCTGACTCAATGGTACATACATAACAACAACAGAACTCAGGGAACCAGCACAGTTCAGTGGATCTAGGAAGCGATTCATAATCTCATATCCCTGGAACAGATGACAGTCCGCCTCCGCCAGCCCCCTTTGAACACCGGGTGGTGAGCGTCAAGGAGACTTCCATTTCAGCAGGCTACACCGTGTGTCAGCATGAAGTCTTAGGAGGGTAAGTGGGCCCTCTGTCTCGATGAGGGTGTGAGTGGGGGTTGTGGTCAGAAACCTCTGGAGAACTAAGCTAGATGGTTCCAAGGCACTGGTTCGTTGAGTCAAAGCAGGACAGGGGTGTCCTGTATGACATGTGTGTGAGTGGGATAGCTCATACAAAGTGGGGTGATAACCGCATAATGCAGCGAGGAGCGGTGTGGGTGCACCGACAGAATAGACATGGGAAGCATTTACATGAGAGGGCAGGAGAGGCTACACAGTGTGTGCAGGATAGCCCATGGACTGTGGATACGAGGATGTATTTCCGTGGAGTGCAGAGCTCCACATATGGGGTGAGGGGAAGAAGGGATGCCCTAGGCGTACCCACTTCATAGAGGATATGCTGACCTGCCAAAAGAACAAACCAATAAGTCTTGGGAAACATGCACCCAGAGTGCTCCAAGCGGCAAGGATGGCGAAACTCTGTCTCACAATCTTTGGGCTTGGAGTTGGGAGAAGCCAGTGCCTGGAAAAAGACATCACGCTTGGAGAGGTGGAGGGTCGGCAAAGGAAAGGAAGACCCTCGACCAGATGGGTTGACACAGTGACTGGAACAATGGGCTTGAGTATGTTGGGGATGGGGAGGATGGCCGGAGATAGGGCAAGGTTCAGATCCACTGTTTACAGGGTCACTATGAGTTGGAGTCAACTTGATGGCACCTAACAACATGATAGTTTGCACAATATGAGAGTAGAGAGATTAATTCCAAGGTTTCAAGATAGCCCCATAGTGGGGGTGATGTCTAGGATGTCCTCGACAGTGTGTAGGATAGGCTGTGTGTTGTGTGGGTGGGGGAGGAGATCAGGCTGGTAAGCCACAGGGTACAAGACAGCCCCCCAAGTGCAGTGGCAAGCCTTCTGGGCTTCCAGCTGACCGTGTCCATGTGTTTCTGTAGGGGTCGGTTTGGCCAGGTCCACAGGTGCACAGAGAAGTCCACAGACCTCCCACTGGCAGCCAAGATCATTAAAGTGAAGAGCTCCAAGGACCGGGTAAGGCCTCTGCGCTGGGCCAGCTCTGTCCCTGAGGCCAAGTCCAGGAATCCCTGCACTTCCTTTAGCTCTTTCCAGGCCCCACATCCCCCTGAGCTTCTCTGTGCTGGGCAGAAACTCTGCTTCTGGTGATTTCCAGTTTCCCGCTAGCACATGACCTCAAAGCGCCTTGTCTTCTCTAACCTGTTCATGCCCAGGCACCAGGCGTGACCCTGAGCCTATCTGTGAAACGGGTGGTCCTTTCTGGTTTTTAAGAACCTGATTTGAGTGATGAGTCAAGAAGACCTAGTGTGAGAATAGAAATAGAAGATGGGATGTGTGTGTGTGTGTCTGTCTGTCTGTCTCTGTGTGTGTCCTTGGAGTCTTAACTTGCTCCTTTCCCCAACCCATTTGTTTGGAAATTCTCTGCTGGCTCTGCAAGGAGGATGTGAAGAATGAGATCAACATCATGAACCAGCTCAGCCATGTGAATCTGATCCAGCTCTATGACGCCTTCGAGAGCAAGAACAGCTTCACCCTCATCATGGAGTAGTGAGTGCCTTGGAGTGGGGGCAGCAGCTCCTTCTCAGGCAGCTGCACGGTGGGCTCCGGGTGCTGGTTCCAGGGAAGTTTCTCCTTCCCTGCTCCCTTCCCCTGAGGTCATCAGGGCCACACCCGCCCATTCCTCTGGTTAATTGTTTTACTTCTATGTGGGGCATGAAAGGCAAAGAAAGTGGTTCTGTCATGCGCTAGTGACCAGACTGTAGTTTAGACTGGTGGGACCTGTAATTTTGTGTCAGTTTAGTCAACCTAATTATTTAAAAAAATTTGAATTCGTTGGAAACTATAACATTGTACGTTGAAACAGAGTTTTTGCGAGCATTTAAAAGGTTAAGCAATGATGGGGCCTGCGATGGCAGCTGACAGCAGTGTGCTGAAGCTTATAGGGGATGCGCTTTAGACAAGGCAACCAGCTTTGTCATAGCCCAGACCAATCCCAGTACCCCTGACCGAGGCCAAGGGCTCAAAGGCCATTTGTTTGGGCCGTGTTGCTGTTTTCCTTTTGAAGGGTTGAGGAAAGTCGAACACTTATTGTGTCTGTGCCTTTTTCAAAAGTGGAAAAAAAACATAAACTAAAACAAGTGGGCCATGCTTCAATAAACCACCTTGCTATGTCTGTCCGATTCTAGGGTTTTTGACTCATACATACATACTATCTGGCACCCATGGGCAAATGAGCCTGTAACTCTCATCTACATTATCCAAAGTGAACTGGATTCACAGCATCAATGTCAGTCTTGCCTAGCTCTTCCTTTCCCCACGCCCTCTGAGCTGGGAATGGGTCAGAACAAGGGTCTTGATAAATCCCCAAATGGTAGTGACCCCCTCGACCCAAGAGCATACCTTGAGTTTACTGAGGCAGCCTCGGTTGGTCTCTGATACGTTCTCACTCAGCCTGATGCCTGTCTCTCCCTTCACCCTGGCAGTGTGGATGGGGGTGAACTCTTTGACCGGATCACGGACGAGAAGTACCACCTAACTGAACTGGATGTGGTCCTGTTCACCAGGCAGATCTGTGACGGCATGCACTACCTCCATCAGCACTATATCCTGCACCTGGACCTCAAGGTCAGGCTCATCCCTCAGCATGTGGTGGGCTGGGGCCCGGGGGCCCTGGGTCTCTGATGCACTCATCTCTCAGGGCTCTATCCTCACACAGCCCTGGGTCGCTGTCCTCCTAGGTCTGCATTCTTGGCTGGCAAGTCATGTTGCCTTTCTCAGTTCTCCCATTTGCAAAATGTGGCTGATTCTACCTTGTAAAGTATTATTTGAAGACTAAGCAATAAAAGACTCTTCTTTAAAAAAGTATTTTTAAGATTGTTGTTGTTAAGTGCTCTGACACAACTACAACTCATAGCTACCTATGAAGGACTATAACAATATATACACAATACACAATTGTATAAAATATGCAGTGAAAGTTCTTTCCACCCCAGTCACTATCTATCTTTAGAGGTTTTCACTATTAACAATCTGCGAATTTTAAATGAAACAAAATTTAAAAATAGTTGATTTGTACTGAGGTCCTTTCTGGTTTTTCAAAACCTGACTTGAGTTCTTAAAACACAAATAAAAAGAGATCATGTTATGCACCTTGTTTTTAAATTTAGGATTATATTTTGGCCAACAATGCACTGTAAACATCTTTCCTTATTTATTCTCTTTTTGCACATGTGATATTCCGTGGAACATACGCATTATGCCTTCTATTTAATATTTTAGGAATACTTAAGTTGGCCCCTATTGTTTTGATAGGAGTGGTTCTAGCAATATCATGTGCTTAAAACCCTGGCTGTTTCTGTAATATATTCCTCTTCTGGGCTAGCAGAACGGTGTATTTCTATCTGCATTTTAGGTGTATGACTCACATTTGTACACCTTGTAATTTTTTATTGGATTTTGGACATTTTAGATAATACACTAACTTTGGTATTCATTGCCTTCATTGGAGGCTTATCTTACTTGGATCCACAATCAAGTAATCAAGAAATTAAAAGATATGTTGCACTGGGAAAATTTGCTGTCATGGACTTCCCCATGTACTGAAGAGCAATGATGTCAGTTTGAAGACTAAGGTGTACCTGATTCAAGTCACGGTGTTTTTATTTACTTGCTATGCATCTGAAAGTTGAATAATGACTAAAGATGATGGAAGAAGAATTGATGCCTATAAGTCATGGTGTTGGAGAAGAGTACCAAACATCTCATGGGCAGTCAAAAGAACAAAGATAATACGTCTTGAAGAACAACCAGGGTACTTCTTGGAAGCAAGGATGGAGAAGCTTCATTTCACATATTTTTGGCATGTTGTTAGGAGGGGATCAGTCCTTGGAAAAGTACATGATGTTTGGAAAGGTGAGGTCAGCAGAAGAAAGGAAGATCCTCAACAATATGGACTGACAGTGACTGTAACAGTGGGTTCAAAGATATCAGAGGTGATGAGGCTGGTACAGGATGGGCGGAGTTCAGATCCATTGTTCATAGAGTAATTGTTCGTATGAGTCAACTCAAGGGCATAGAACAAGGGTTACTTGCTTTTTTTATTTGTTGATTAATTGGCTCAATTCTTTTAGTTGGCCAGACAACAGCTTTTCAATTTTTTGTTTGATTGAATTTTTTTTTCTCCGTCCACATTCATCTTGGATTCTTTTCCCTAATTACCTGCAGTCTACCAATTGCTGGCTAGTTGTTCCGTTGTTTTCAACAGTGCTTTGGGACATAAAATCTCCTACGAATCAGTCCTATCAAATGATAGCCCCTCTAGAGCACGAGTTTCTGAGGTCAGGGTTTGATATTTGTTCTGAAGCCGGGAGGGCTCCTCTCCTACACGCTCAGAGGGTCTGGATGATGTAGAGGGTTAAACTTTTTACTTCTAACTAAAAGGTTGGCAGCCTTAACACTCCCTGTAGTGCCTTGGAATAAAGGCCTTGTAATCTGATTCCAGAAAGTTCCAGGCCTGAGAACTTTATGGAACAGTTTTCTTCTGCACACAGTCACCATGCTTGGAGAGGACTAACTAGATTTGGTTTAAGCCTCCTGCAAACCAGCCAGCCCATAGTTTTGATCTTCATTCGTTCCACGAATCTCCTTCTATTTTCCCTGCTGCCCCCACTCCTGAAAACACCCTCAGGCTTAACACTCTTGTAAGCTCTGTTGCAAACGAGGTGCTTTCCTTTGGTGAGACCAGAACTGCCTGTACCTTGCTTGCTTCTCTTCTCAGGTAAGACCTCTGTGCTGAGAGGTCTCAAGTTGGGCGTGGGGACAATAGCAGCTTCTCTTTCCTCTCGTATGATTTACAGCCTCTGAACACTCACCGGAGGGTCAGCTATTAGTCGGTTCCAACTCAACAGCAATGAGTTTTGCTGAGGGCAGAAGTCCCATATGCTCTGGACTATAAAAGTCTGGAATGGAGTCTTTGCCAGCTTACCTGGGAGGGAAGAGGGAGATCAGACTTGGCTCACATACAGCTCTTCCTTATGGAGTTCTCATAGCATCAAGAAGACAAAGATTCTCACCACTGAGCCAATCGACGGCACCGTGATGGATGGAGAAGAGATCGAGGTTGTGAATGGTTACAACTTGCTTGGCCCTACAATAAACACTCTTGGAACCAGCAGTCAGGAAATCAAAAGACGAATTGGATTAGGTAAAGCTGCTGTCAGGGACCTTTCCAGAGTACTGAGAAGCAATGATGTCAGTCTAGAGACTAAAGTGTGCCGGTTAGAGGCCATGGTTTTCACAATTACTTGCTATGCATCAGAGAGCATGACTCAAGAAGAATTTATCCCTTTGAGTTGTGGTGCTGGAGAAGAGTCTTGAACATGCCATAGATTGCCAAGAAAATGAATAGGTCTGTCTTGGAGAGGGTGAAACCAAGTTTCTCCTTGGAGGTTAGGATTTTGACGCTCCATTTCACATACTTTGGGCACGTGACCAGGAGGACCAATCCTTGGAGAAGGACATCATGCTCAGAAGGGTGGACGGACAGAGCAGGAGAGTAAGAACCCAGATGAGATGGATTGATACAAAAACTAGGGCAATGGGGGTAAGCGTGTCGGAGTCAGGGAGACTGGCTCAGGCAGGGCAGACCTCAGAGCTATTGTGCATAGGGTCACTATGAGTGGCAGGAGACTTGACAGCACATAACAACAGTAACAAAAAGGATAATTCTTCATTTGTTGTTTTCTATCAGGATAATTACTAGAGGTCTTGAATGCTTTTGTTTTTAAGATTTTTTCTTCTGCACTGGGGAAGCAGGTCAGTCGAATTCATCTCCCACATACTGTGAACATGCATCTAAATTTTATTTTAAAAGTATGGACTTTTCACATAAAAACCTGGATTTCCTGCTTCTGTTCAGGGGTAGGAAACTGGGAACGGGATCCGTATTCCTGCATGGCGATCTTTAGCTGGAGTTCAGCAGGCTTCCCCTTGATGGGCGTCATCTGGTTCTCCACAGCCACACCACTTCTTAGTGCCCCACAGCAGCCCACTTTACTTATTGTCTTTGTCTAACCCGTTGAGGAATTCCTGGGTCATTCATTCCATTGGAGCCTGGGAAACTGAGGCCTAGAAACATGAATTGGAGCTCTTGTGGTCTCGTAGAAAGGAGCTGTGCTGCCAACCCAGAGGTACACGGTTCAAAACCAGCAGCTGCTCTGTGGGAGAAAGATGAATGATCGCTTCCTGTGCAATTTAAGGCCTCTGAAAATCTGCTGGAGGGTCAGCTATGAGTTTGTTCTAACTTGACAGCACATAACAACAACAATTACTAATGTCAAAGCAAATATGTATGGGAGAGTAGACTTCCTTAGCTGTGTAATGGACTAATTGGTTTTCCCTTTTTCCCTCCCAGCCGGAGAACATACTGTGTGTCAGTCAGACCGGACACCAAATTAAGATCATTGACTTCGGGCTGGCTAGAAGGTAAGAGAGGTTTGTGCTGATAAAAGTCCTTGAGTGTATTTGCTTTTCCCTTGAGGATGGTTAACTCTGGATCAGTCAATACAAGAGTTCACGGATGGGCCTAGGGACACTCTCCCCCTCAGACAGACGTGTAGCCCTCAACTGTGCAGATGGACAGAGGGTAGTCTTGTGCTGTGGGAAATATTTTTCCTTAAGATGTTGTTTTACTGCAAACCCTGTGTCTGAGTAGAAAAAAGAGTGATAGTTAAATGAGGTCTCTAAATGGGAATGTGGGCATCTCAATGCTATGCATTCTGCAGATCTCTCTCCCCGGTCTCCTGGGGCTGGGATGTTTCTGGCTATGTGATGCATTAGATACCGTCTCTGGCCCGCAGGAAATGACTGAGTTCATAGGAAAGCAGCTGAGTGTTGGCGTCAGTGCACCAGGGAATTAACAATTCTGGAGCCACTCAGAATTGGATTGGATCTTGGCAAAATGGTGCTATTACTACAATACATGTAGGCACAGGCAGTTATGAGGGACTGCTCTAGAAGGGTGGGTGGCAGACTCTCAGGTTTCCATTCACAAAGTCAACATTTTATGTCATAAAATTACACTTGAAGACATTGAAAGTGTTTAATGCCTTGTGAAGTGTACAGCCGTAGTGTACAGTTGTATGTATGATGGACATCATCCATAGGAAACACCCTGGGGGTGGGTGTTCGTAACAGTGACAGCAGCAGACCCTTGAGGACACCTGTGAAATGTAAGGAACCTACAGTCCATGAATCTGGCTTTAGTTGCATGCCCATGCTCTAAGTTTTCCTCCAGAACATTCTTTTCATCAAGACCTCTTGGAAGTTGCCAATTTCCTGGGTAGATCTCTACATGGTAGTTGAATTTTTAACTCTCTCTGATCCTGGTGGTTGTTTCCCATGCTGTGAATCTGGGGACATCTATTCCCTCACAGCTGGGGGGAAGCCAAGCCTTTCCCCCAAGGAGGTGGAGCTGCATGGCTGAGCTCAGCCTCTGCTCCCCACTCACCTGCTTCCAGGTGTAGGACTTACACCAAACTGGCATGTGGCACCTCATCGTGGTCCTTCCAGGTCACTGCTCACTGGCTGATGTGGTGGGGATGGAAGATGCATTTTCAGTGTCCCTCACGTTAGATGAAAAGCCAAGTGCCAATGTCACTGGCCTAACAGCAGAATCAAGTTCATACGTCCCTATCGCGCCCTTAGAATTCCATTACACAGTGCTCTGTATTTCCAGAGCAAAATTAAATTTCCTCCGACCTTATTGTTGTTGTTAAGTGCCATCGAGTTGTAGACTACTCATAGCGACTTTATGAACAAAAGACCTGAACACTTTTATAACTTTCATCGTTTCTCCAAGTTCATAGAGTTTCCGGAGGCAAGCTATTTTGGAAGTGGATGCCACTCCTGCTCCCTCCACCTTATCTCTTTTTAAAAAAAAATAAAAATCACACTTCATCCATAATACAAGCACTGTGCACTGGTTTTCAAACAGCATCTGCTTTCTTTACATTTGTATGTCTTGTACACTAGAGCAGTGTTTCTCAGCCTTTTCATTATAATAGCCCCCTGCTTGCTCCTTTGCTCTCAAGCAGTTTTTTTCAGATCCTCATTCCCTAACTTTCAGCCTCACCCTCAATAAATTTGATTACCATAGAGATGCTGTATATCTGTTCATGTTCATTTGTACAGGACCACAAGCCATTGTATTATCTAAATTTAGAAAACAAACAGACAAAAACCTAAGAACCAGTTTTCCTCTAGAGGAATTTGCCTTCACTGAAAACGTACGCACTCCAGGACACATCCTAATGCAAATGATTCTTCTCAGTGTGACTGAATTCAGAAGGTTTTATTGGCACAGGCTGGAGGACGCTGTGCTGCTAACCCAAATGCTGTGCAGTGCGAATCCACCAGCAGCTCCACGGGAGAAAGACGGAAAGTTTCCCCCCGTGTAGCTCACAGCTTCAGAAACTCAAGAGAGATCACCCAGGAGTCAGTTCTAATGCCAAGGCAATGAGTGAGGCCGAATTCAGAACGAGTAGCATCATTGGACTCCTGAAATCAGAGACGGCCTCTCTGAGCAGCTCGAAGGGAAGAAGGGAAATGGTTTTGTTACCTGCAGAAAGTGGTATGCCAGCAAATATTTAACAACTGGCTCTGCGTATTGTAGGTTGGGGTGGGGCTAGATTTGTGGTCATCGCCAATTTTGATGATAGAAACATGTTCATCATGACTGATTCCAAGCTACCAACACGTCGTCACTGAGAGCAGAGTTGGGAATAGACATGCCTCGTTGGCTCTCAAGCTGCAGTGAGAGCTGGCCTAGTGTGCTGCCCAAGGGAAGGCAGCAGAGGCATGGGAGTTATGGGACCCAGAACAGCATTTATGTATAAATATATGTATATGTGTGTGTATATGCATATGAGTGTGGTATCAGGATTGGAGGAAGACTTATCAAACCTGCGTTATTCAGATGACACAACCTTGCTTGCTGAAACCAACGAGGACCTGAAGCATTTTCTGCATAAGGTCAAGGACTCTAGTCTCTAATATATAGATTGAAGCTCAACATCAGAAAAACAAAGATTCTCACCACTGGGCCCACTGGCAACACCATAATAGATGGAGAAGAGATCGAGATTTTTAACAATTTCAGCTTGTCCAGGTCCACAATCAACACTCTTGGTACTAGTAGCCAGGACATTAAAAAAAAAAAAAAGAATTGTAATGGATAAATCCGCTGTCAGGGACCTCTTCAGAGTGCTTCAGAGCAATGATATCAGTCTAGAGCCTAAGGTGTGCCTGATGCAGGCCTGGTCTTTACAATCACTTGCTATGCATCAGAGAACTGGACAGTGACTACAGATGACAGAAGAACTGATGCCTTTGAGTTGTAATGCTGAAGAAAAGTACTGAGCATTCCATAGACTGCCAAGAGAACAAGCAGGTTTATCCTTCAGACAGTGATACCAGTTGGCTCCCTGGAGGCAAGAATTTTGAGGCTCTGCCTCACATACTTTAGACATGTTGCCAGGAGGGACATCCTTGGAGAAGGACATCATGCTTGGAAGGGTGGAGGGACAGCACAGGAGAGGAAGACCCCGGATGAGATGGATGGATACAGTAACGAGGATAATGGGAGTGGGTGAGTCAGAGACAGTGAGACTGACTCAGGATAGGGCAGGCTTCAGAGCTATTGTGCATAGCTATGAGATGCAGGTAAATTGATGGCACATAACTATAACGTGTGCGTGTGTGTATGTATATACATTGTGGTAGTGGTGGTAGTGTACCATAGAGAGTTGGAACCAACCCATAGCTGACCTTCCAGCGGGTTTTCCGAAGCACTTAATCGCATGGGAGGAGATTGTCCATCCTTCTCCCACAGAGCAGCTGGTGAATTTGAATCGCGTGCCTTTGGGATTGCAATGCAGCTTCTTGCCATTAGGACCACACACACACACACACACACACACACACACACACACACACGGAGAGACTCACTGGTAAAGAGTGGTACTGCCAACCCAAAGGCATCCAGTTTGAATCCACCAGCTGCTCTGCCAAGAGAAAGATGGACCATCTCCTCTCACACAACTGATAGCTTCTGACTGTTCTATCACCTGCTTCCTCAGGAGAAAGATGAGTCATTTCCCCCTGTGTAATTTACAGCCTCTGAAAATCCACCAGAGGGTCAGCTATGAGTTAGTTCTGACTTGATGGTACATGACAACTACATAGATATAGATCCCTGTACATAAAAAACGATGAGGAAGACAAGAACCGGCATGGAGAGGGCATAGAATAGAAAATGATTGTGACAGAGGGGAGGTCTGAATGTTAGTCTCAGTGGTTTGAAGATTGTCTGATGAGTCTCATCTGGCTGGAAGGTATGAAGGACTGTATGTCAGTTTACCTAAGCAATGACTTAGTCAATAACTCAATGACCTACCCATCAAATACTGTCAGACAAATTCCTTAAACTGGTCAAGGCCAGTGATGACAATGGCTTTGCTGGCACGACCACTGATGAAAGGTGGGACCAGGAGAATAAACCCAGGGGCAGTCAAATTCACTGCTGTGAGATGAAAGACAAATTTCAAAAAGTCCTCAGTAATCTGCAAAGCCAGTCATCCCTCCTTCACAGAATGGTGCGCTGGCAATTTGGATTATGCTAATTGATTTTTAAAAAAAAAAAAAACCCAACAAACCAAAACCTAAAACACAAATTGTCTTTCTTTCTGAGATTCATGTCCTCCCAAAAGAAAGGATTTGTGAGAGGAACGTATCATTTGAGAAAGCATATTTTAGACCAGAGAGGAATTTAATGTTTGTAAAAATGAAGAAATATCAAATACCCTCCCTAAAATAAACTACAGAAAAGAAAGTTGTATGTCTGGATGGGGCTATTAGAATGGGCTATCAAAAGGTATACAGTTTGGGGTAGTGAGGTCATATATACATATTCAGATGCCACGGCATCTGGTAAGAAGAACGACCAGGTTTCTATCAGGCTGGATATCATCGGTGGAGCTAAGCAGCGATCTTTTGAGCGTCAAGTCTGGGGAAGGGATGGGAAGTATCTTCTTTAAGCTGGATCTCTCAAGTATTGGGTATAGTCCTATGTCCAGACTGGAATCCAGGTTGATCTTACCAGATTCTTTGGCAGGGGAAAGAAAGGTGTCAACCCCAAAGCCCCTGAGGACACAATGGACCTCGTGCTGGAAGTCGTAGGACAAGGGGACACAACTTTTAGGCAAATATATCAGTTTGCTATTGACACAATGGCTCCACATAACAAACCATCCCAAAACTCAGTCATTGACGATAACAGTCACGCAATCTTACTGACATCCATCTGTGCTTGGCTTTTAGCCCACTGAAGTGAGAAACTGCTCTTTGAAAACCCACTGCCCGAAAGAAAAGGAAGCAGTGCAGCATGTTCATTTTATTCTACCCTGATTCTCAATGTTCCCATTTATAAAACGGGGCCCTTAGTGTTACCTACTTCATAGGGCTGTTTTGAGGATGAAGTAAGATGGTATGTACATGGAACTCAGCACAGTGCCTGGAGAATAGGAAAAACTTAAGATTTTTAGCTCTTATCATCCCAGATACTTTTTTCTCTTTCAAGGATGATTCTAGAAAACACCCTTTGTGATTGGTCCCCTTTCCCGTTCACTATCAACCTGCTTAGATGTTATGCCCAGAAAGATCTGTTTCTTACTGGCGTCTCTCCAGGGATGTTGGGAACCCCGCTGAAATAGTCCTCTGGCTTCAATCCATTAGTGCTCCGCATCCATGTGTCTGCATAGTCAGTAAGGTAGACTGCTCTTTCCTTTCAGACTGCAAATGTTACCAGAAGGAGAACAGGGGTTCCCTGATTTCCCCCAGTGATACAGGAAAGCCTGGGGCTGATGACTCCCTAGGGAATACTATGTGTGGTCAAAGGGCGGGAGGGAGGGAGGGGGAGCCTCTGCCTCTCACCAAGGCCTGGTCCCAACATTTGCAGCTTCTCCCAAGACATCCTCTGCACCCCTGTCCCCCAGGTACAAGCCTCGGGAGAAGCTAAAGGTGAACTTCGGCACCCCTGAGTTCCTAGCCCCAGAAGTCGTCAACTATGAGTTCGTCTCCTTCCCCACAGACATGTGGAGTGTGGGGGTCATCACCTACATGCTGTAAGTGCCCCAGGTGTCTTAGCCCTTTGACCCTCAGAATCAGTACTAGTTTCTTTGGGGTGGGGGAAGGTGATTCCAGAAAACATCAGATGTATGCAAGTGAGGCAGGCTATAAAAGGTGTGTCCTTGGTCCAGTTACCATTTGGGCAATTTCTGGACTCAGGCGGAGCACGCCTCAGAGTGATCCCATGTGAGGGGACAGAAACACCAGCTCTTGTTAGTTACTACTTGTAGGCTGACCCTAGGGCGCGCTCACTTCCTGGCATTCTGGGCAGGGGAAGCAGGGTTCAGCCTGAGAGAAAGCCATCCAGAAACCAAATGCAGGTGCCAGCAGTTACAAGAGGGCACTGAAGAGTAAGGAGAGGGGGCAGCTAGGGCAGGACACTGCCTGCTGCATCACTTTGGCCCCTGCCTTCTGTGGCCTGAGCTAGGACAGGTTAACAAGGAATCGGTGCATAGACTAAGTGTCCTCCCCTCTTCAACTGTGGACTTCTCTCTACCATTTCTCTAAAGGTCTATTAATGTCATACTTTGCTTCCAATCTATGCACAGGGCATAGTTATGTATACATGCACTCTGTGTCCCTAAACTTTGCATATATGTGATGCAACTGGCCAGGGTAAGAGGGCACGAAACCCAATCACTTAGCTTGTTTGGCCTCGCTGCCTAAAAAAACAAAAACAAACAACAACAACAAAAACCCCAAACCAACAAAACAGGACTGACATTGGGTTTGGGGGAAGACTGAGAAAGATGGGACAAATAATGTATACTGCATTGAAACAGATGACGGAGAGAACTATTTAAAAGGGATACCTGATTAGGTATTATTATCATGACAGGAGTCCAGAGTGAAGGCTGCATAGTGGAGTGGACTCGGGGAGAGGGATTGTCTAACAATGAAAGAATTTTTCTTTTACTTTACAAAGAGAAGACTGAATTGGGGGGGAGGGGTAGGCAGGGAGAAAAATGAGACAATGAATGAATGGAAATCAAAGTCTCTGTAAAAGTTCATTAAAATGACAAATTTTTTTTTAAATGGTATGGTGGGTTCTTAAAATGTTAAAACTAGAAATACCATTTGCCCCAACAAAACTACTACTAGATACATGTCCTAAAAAAAAGTTAAACTTCCCCTTGGCCTTCAAAGCCTGAGTGGTACCTAACCCAGTCTGACTACCTCAGAGACATGGTAAGCCATTTTCAAGTTAAATCAGTATGTGTCTGCTACTAGCCATATCGAGTTGGGGCTCAATTTGCTTAGTTTCAGGGATTCAGGGGAAAAGAGCGAGGGAAAAGGTAAGCCAGATGGGAGACTTGTTCTAAGTACCTTTCCTGCTCCCAAATTTCTGTGCTCACTTCTTAAAGAACCCAGCAAACACTCTCCCATGGAGAAGTAATGAGAATGTTTGTGCTTTGAATGCTCTTGGTTCTGGTTAGCTCTGCTTGAAAGTTGCCAAGTTTCTTCGCCATCCTGATGCCATGTGGGCAAGCATGGCATCCACACACTAATGGTACTTTCTTTCCTCTATAGACTCAGTGGTTTCTCCCCGTTTCTAGGGGAAACCGATGCGGAGACCATGAATTTCATTGTGAACTGTAGCTGGGATTTTGATGCTGATACATTCGAAGGTCTGTCAGAGGAGGCCAAGGACTTTGTTTCCCGGTTGCTGGTCAAAGAGAAGAGGTACCCTTTGTCTCTTGTCACTTAAACAAGATTTCTGGTTTGAGTGTTGCAAGCCCTCAGGCTGGTGAGGGCCCCAGGGTGCTGTGCAGGGCTGTTGGGACGAAAGCGTCTTTCTCCACGTGGCTCTGTTCAGGATTTCTTAGTCTACTACTTCTTTGTAGTCATGCAAGTAGCAGGGAAAAGGGCTAAGAAACCGAACTTAAAAATTATAAGAAGTTGGTGAGCTATGGTGGCCTAGTGGCAAGAAGCTGCACTGCAATCCCAGAGGTGTGCTGTTCGAATCCACCAGATGCTCTGCTGCAGAAGGGACAATCTCCTCTTGTACCTGTCAGATCTGATTTGATGGTGCGCGCGCGCGCGCGTGCACACACACACACACACACACACACACACACACACACACACACAATATTTTCAGTTTTAAATAGGAATATACTTACAAAATAGTGCTGTTTCCAAGTTGTCAGTGGTAAGGAATTACACTGCCAACACAAAGGTATATGGTTCAATCCACCAGCTGTTCCCCAGAAGAAAGATGGGCTATCTCCTCCTGTGCAATTTACTGCCTCTAAACACCTGCTAAAGGGTCAGTTATGACTCAGTTCTGACTCCATGTTACACAACATTACAAAAAACCTGAAATATACTGATATTATTCCTCAGAATAAAGACCAGAAATGTTCCTTGTTGATGAAGGCCTAAGTCCTCTTCATCAGATATTATCAAAGCTGTACTTAAAATACACTGAAGTTTTTGATACTCAGACATAAAACTGTTGTATTGTTATGTATCACAGAGTCAGATTCGACCCATAGTTGAGCCTCCAGTGGGTTTTCAGAAGCAGTTAATCACACAGGAGGAGACTGTCTATGTCCTATGGAGCAGCTGGTGGCCTTGCACCACATGACTTTGGGATTGCAGTGCAGCTTCTTGCCTCCAGGGTACCAGAGCTCCAGGCATAAAATAGTAACTGAAAATAACCAAAGATGTAACTGACCCAGGTGGTGCTCAGAATTTGCACTCTGGTGGCCTAGTGGGTAAGGCAGGTAGTTCGTATCTGCCAGCTGTTCCTCAGGAGAAAGATAAGGCAATCTCCTCTCATGCAATTTATAGCCTCTGAAAACCAGCTAGACAGAGGGGCAGTTTTGGAGTTGCTTCCAAATTAACAGTAATGAGAGTAACATCAAGTTTGGCAGTTCAAAACGACCCAGCGGTGCTGGGAAAGGGAATTCTGGCAATTTACCTCCAGAAGATAAAAGCAGCTCATTGCCTTGTAGCTGATACTGTCTTTAGGTGACCCCATGTGCTACAGAGTAGAACTACAAGGGGGAGGGGGAAGGATTTCTTGGCTGGTGTCTTGATGGAAGAAGACAGATAGGCAGGCTTTTCATCATAGCACCAAGTAGGATCAAGCCACTTACCTTTCAGCTTCTCGTGGTCGTTGGGTACTGATGAGTCAGCCTCACAACTCACCCTGCCCAAGCCTGGACTATCTTCACCACTGCTGCGCTTGTGCCCATTGCTGGAGCCTGTGTCCACCAGTGTCACTCAGGGTCTTCCTCTTCTGCACAGACTTTCTACTTTACCAAGCATGACATACATCTTTTTTTCCCCAGAAACGGAACCTTTCTAATAGCATCATTCTGGCTGTACTTTTTCAGAGATGTTGTTGTTATGTGCCGTCGAGTCGTTTTCGACTC